GTATATCCCTGTAATTATTACACACTGTAGCTTTAATAGTTTCCAAAAACAACAAAAAGCATCAAGAGCAAAATGAGTTTAACGGATTTAAAAACAAAGTAACAAATAAGAAAACTTTAAGTAAATTACATTGAACAATCCATAAGTTTGCTTTTCTGAAAGCACTCAATGTAAACTAACCCTTATGATGATAATGATGTTGATGATCAAAATGTTTTATACCCAGTCAGCAAGTTGCAGGTTTCACCCAGTTTGGAAACTGTGTTGCCCCATTTCAGGTTGTGTGATGGATTCCCACAGGTACTAATTAGTATTGTTTAGATGTAAACCCAAAGGGGCCACACTGTCTTCCTTTCATGGATTACTTTACACCACAGTGTACACATGAGCTGCAGTTTCCCACACATCTGTAATCCTGTTAGGAAATACCTCAGCCCAACCTACACTGATCAGTGCTCATGTAAGGGAATATGGATGATATGTTGAAATGAACATTAAAAATGAGGCATTCAGAAGCATTAGTATACCTTCTGTTTACAAAACAAGTGTAAGTCGCTACAGATAATATCATGTACTACATTGGAATTCACTGAATAAAGCCGCTATATTTATGTTTTCCCTGCTTTTAATGAGTCATCAATCTGCTCTTCTAAAATAAGGGGTTAAGGCTGTGTGTGGTATTTTGTCAAGTGTGAACTCTTTTTGCAGAGGCTAAAATAAATGACATACTGGCTGTTTGTTGCAGGATGTCAATAAAAGAAAAACCCCTGGGACAAAAAGAGACAGAAAACAAAAACTTTTTTCTAACTGCATTTTAATTAACCTGAAGAAGGAACATGTGTAAGCCAGCTTACAAATGTCCAACATCCAGCAGCTTACGTAATTTGTGATAGTTGTCATAAAGACACCATGCTATAAGAGCCCAAATACCCATAAAAGCCCATTGGAATTGTTGGCCTAGCGGTTAGAGCAGTGCTCTAAAGGTAGGCCTATTTTAGGGGGGCTGAAAGATGTCTAAAATGTTCTCAAGCCCCCGTGACTTGGCCTTTTCTGCTGCCGATTAATTTCCTTTATTTTGCTTTTTAAAATAACTATTTACAAACCAAATATGTTGTTAGAGTATGATTTCCGTGCCACTTTTCTAGCAGCGCTCATTACCAACTGCAGCAGAAGGAATCTCCAGTACATATATACAATATATAAAATCAAATCAAAATAACTAACTCCAGCCCCCAGCCTCAACACGAAGTCCCACATAATGAATAAACCAAGTTCTCCCCTATTTGACCCCAAAAAACCAAACACGGTTAAAAGAGCTAGGTTCCAGCTATAGAAGAATGCTGCTATTTAGCTACTAGCTCATCTAAATGCATTATGAAGGACCTGTCTGTTTAGAGTTCAGTGTGAATTACTTCTTTCTGGACCATTAGCTGTGTTTTCACTTTACACATGGTTGCTTGCACAATGTGAAACAGGAGCTGAGATCATTCACAGCAGATTGTCAAAGGTTGACTATAAGAATTCAGTAAAAATAATCTATTTTCTCCCTGACCTGTAGGAGACAGAGCAGAGCAGCACAGGAGGTGAGAGCAGAGAGACCTCTTCTGGGAAGATGAGTTGAAAAAAAGATCCCCAACCTGCACAAGGGCTTAAAGGGGAACACCGTTTTTTCACATTGGGCCCTTGATTTTACGTTATTACATCATGTTCTACTCACCCATATGAGTTTTATGTCATTTGGAGCCGTTCTGAAGATATTCCGTTCGGTTACAGTATATCCAAGTAACGTCTTCCTATGGGGAACGACTTGAAGGCACAAACTAAACTGTTCATAATTTATTCTTTATGGTACGCCAGCATTCATAACATGTAGGCGAATCACTGTCCCCCAGACATCCTCGGTTATATTTTTTATATTTATATCTTTTTAAAACAAAGCAGCACGTTTATGACTTTTAAATCATGAGCCTTTATTTAGGAGTAATGATTAGAAAGTGGATTTATAAAAAGAGATACAGTGGCGTTCTCCTCCTTCTTGATTTTGTCTTCACATTAGTCAAAGATATACTGCATATACCTGGATAAACTATATATATATATTGTTTATTCTTCTTAATGCACCTTTCTCCTCCTCGTTTGCACCTCTTCTTTAATTACTATGCCAATATGTGACGAGTGAATTTCTCCGCTGTGAGATGAATAAAGCTCATCTAATCTAATCTAATCTAAACCCAGAATGCATTTTTTTTAAATTAAGGTCTATACTACTATTAACCTCTTACAGCCTAAGGGGGTATAAATAAATTTCTGCCTGACAAAAACACACAAAAGTAAATAACTTATAGCCTCACAGCTAGTAGATTTAAGAAGAAACTTTTGGTACGTTTGTAAAGGTAAGATGTCATAGAATGGTTTTCTGGTGTCAGCACCATTGTAGCTTTGACCCTGCCTGAAATATTAGGGACAAAATACAAAATATTTTGCATTTTTTGAACCTCGCCAACATTTTCTTTGAAATAAACATTGCAAAACACTACCAAAATATTATTTATAGCACAAAAAAGTAGTACAGACTTTTAAATCTAAATGTTGTGTAAAAATATACCAAGTTTGGACTCAATCAGATGAATCATATTTATTTTAGAATGGTATTAGTGGGAAATTTCTTAGGCGGAGAGGCCATTTTGGCACATTTATCCATAAATGTCACCAAACCGTGCCAAATGTGTTTTTTACATCAATACTGGGGGTTTGTTAAAATTACGGGGTCACGTAGCAGCTGGACCCACCTGTGGGTCCGTAGGGTTCTAGGGGTTAATGACAAAAAAAATTTCACAACTCCCTTTTATTCCCCAGCTTCTTTTTCAAATGCTTTCAATTCTTTAATTCCAGTGATAATATTTTTTATGTCTTGAAATTACAACTGTTTTAGGTATATTTGGACCTAAAATCTAATCTGTGAAACTTCTAAACTGTTCTGGGACCATAAGTGATGGCTTTAAATTTTATGTTGATCTTTTATTAATCAATTTCAATTGTTTCAAGATATGGTGAATGTTGAAGGTTGGTTGTGCTTGACACATCAGCGAAAATTATGTCTTTTTTTCCACGCCCCTCCGCAGATAAAAACATAGCGGGTGAGCAACAGCTCCTACTGGTGACGGTTCACAAATATGAATATCCAGTGACATCCATAAATATCACCACTATCAACAGATTGTGGAAAAGTTAATGTAAATAAATGACTGTCGCTGGTACCTTACTTACTTACCCTACAGTGTTGGTTCGCTGTTTGTGCTGTGCATCGCTCTGGAGCTGGCAATGAATGGGGAAAAGCCGCACAGAGTATAAATGCTGCAGATGTTGGGATAATGGCCAGTTTTCCACACACTTCCTGTTTTTATTTACTGTATTAAAATGAATGCTTCACACATTTACACAGTAAGTTATATCTGTTTAATTAATGGGAAATCAATTTTTCCTTTTTTGTTAGCTGGTTGAATAATTTGGTGTTGGATGCTATGTTACCTGTTCATCTCCTGCAGGCTAAGACCCTCTCCTCCTTAATACCTAGTGACAGAGGCGTGGCCAGAAAATTTTTATAAGGGTGGCCAGGTAATAACAAATGTAGACAGAGGGGTGGCACCAGAACCTGCAGGGTAAATCTACACTGTTCCAACAGGAAAATTAACAAGCAAAACATCCATGTTTTCTAGATAAAGACAAACTATACTTTCCCACTGCCTTTGCTAACAAATAGACAAATATATTCAAACACCTGTGCTTTCTAGATAGAAGGTATAGTGGATAAAATTCTTTCAGGTTTGAGTTCTGCCGCAAAAATCTTTTCCATTGTCATTACTTACCTACTTTTATCACTAATCTTTCTGCTTAAAATTGATATATACAAATACTAATATCTACTTATATTGATTATTTAATAAGTTTTTATTAAAATAGTTACGTATCTATGATTTCACTTAAGACTTCTAGATGACTTGCAGAGACATCATTTTCTCTTTACTCCATAAAACACAAAATATATTTCTGCTTGAATCTTGTACTTATTATCTTTAATCTTAGTATATTCATATGGATAATTAACCACAGCGTTTTTGTTGTTAATATATGAAAAATTAAAATGTTTAAATATTCCAGCTGAGAGTTTTACTGTTGCCACCATCTGTATAAAGGGCTGGTTATACTCCCTGCAGCAGTGTGTTGCAGTGAGCTTGACGCAGACATTTTTGATTTATGCTCAATATTGAAGCGTGGCCTGCGCTATTCTATGGGTCTAGATACGACCGAGGCGGAGAGGAAGTGGGGAAAAGTTTGTCTGACAACGGAGGGACATGAGGGCGAAAAAAGAGTGTGGATCCAGGTGAAAAAAGGGTTCCAGCGTTCTCTCACAACTCGCTCTTCTAGCTGGTCCAACTTCACGAGTTGTTTTCCGCAATTTCGGTCATAAAAAACAAAACAAGCCGGCCTCCTGTCTGTGGCACTGTCTGCGGTCACCTATAATTGGGGAGAGTTGCAGTAGAGTGTCTGCAAAGGGGGCGGGCACGTCTTTGCGTTCAATGCGACACCTGCGCACACAACCTGTTTTCGATATATAAAAAAGCCTTTAGAGGGAAACAAAGATAGAGGTGGCAATGGCCACCCTTGGGCCCCCATCTAGCTCCACCCCTGCCAAGTGATGCCCCTGTCTGGAAAAAAAACCCTAAACAACTTAGTAAAGTTAATCATCATCTTTAAGTAATTATTAATAATAATTAGTTTTATAGATTAAAATGTACGAACTCAGCAGTTATTTTGTTGAATGCATTAATTTGCATCTGTTCTCTAAGTCTCCATTCTTTCAAATTAAGGTAAAAAGTCTAATTTTCGACGGCCAGTGAAAGCAGCACAGAGCACCTCTCCGCCATCACCCCTCCCATCCCGCGTGTGCCCGCCGATAAATGCGCGCATACGGGACCGGGGGGGTTGTGCTCGTTCCTGCTCTCTGACCCCAGTGGCAGCTCCGACTCACTGCACTCCGGCTCCCCCTCAGACACACCGAGGCTGCCTACTATAGCTCTCTCTCTCCCCCGCCGTCTGTCAGTGTCTCTCGCCCTCCTCTCCGGCTCTCTATCTCTCGCTCTCCTCCTCGTCTGGTTTCTTTCCACCGGAGCCAGCCGAGGTCCCGCCGGGTCGAAGGTTCCTGCCCCTGCCAACCCGCCAAGCCATCCGCAACACCCCCAGACTGTGGCTCCGGAGTCACCGCCGCATGGACCCGAGTCCCTCAGCTGCCGCCGCCGTCGCTTCTTCTTCTCCTCCTTCCTCCGCGTAGAGGGCGACCCCGACCCGACGCTCTTTCCCCGGCCAGATATAACACCCAGAAAGGAGGGGGGAGGAAAAAGAGAAACCTCCGGGACGAAGGTAGAGCAACCTTTCAGCTTTAGGAAGCAGAGACGGACGGACAGAGGGGAGGGAGGGGAGGCATTCCTGACACAAAGCCGTCGGTTTAAAGGTGGCTTGTCATTTACGAGGAAGAAGCCAGAGGTTAGCAGGCGGTGCTCTGACACTCTGCACCTCAGATTAGACCCTATTAATATTATTCCCGGATCAGAGTTCAAGATAAAACTGAGTTTTCTTCCTTTTTGTTTGTTGCGGACACGTATGCTGCAAAGCTTAACGGTTTCATAGTATAGCTCATGCCGCGTCTGCATGGTGATACTAGAAAGGGTCAGTTTTATTGGGCTCTGTCATCCCTTCTGCTGCTGCTTACCGCTCTGGGAAGTTTTCCACCAGGCTCTCTGTTAATTGTGCTGTCATAAAGCAGCGCGGCTCGACGCGAAGCTCCAGCGTGCCTCATATTACAGGGTAGCAGGCTAAGCTACAGAGCTAGTCGCTGCTGTAGCCATACGGTGCAGGCAGGCGAGCAGGGAAAACCACACATGCACGAGGAGAGGCATGCTGCACGCTGGGAAATACAAACATTCATTTAAGATTTACTGCCAAAAGAAAAAATTAATAATATATATATTTATATTATAAATAGGTGCATCTTTGGCATTGCTATTTAATCCTCTCCTTTATTGTCTTGATTAAAAAAAAATGGTCAGTGTTTTCTTTTTTCCTCAACTCTTATATTCCCTTTGAAGCAAAAAAAGAACAATCTTGTGCATTTATTATGCTAAATAACTGTTTCAAAATGCACATTTTCAGTGCATTAATATTTTTGTCATTTGAGATTCTAAAAACCATTAATTTGCAAATAACTAATACATTGTTGCTACTAATTAACATTATTACATAATAATAAATAACCTCTACCATTTAAGAAAATAGAGGAAATATAAATATTTTTGTTCCATCCACCATCTCATATATGCTGATCAATAGAAACAACTTATCGTACACTCCAGGTCTGGATCATACTTTTTGGAAGATAGTTTTTGCCTGTAAAAAGATACTTAAATTGCAAAAGCAAGGCTTTAAGAGGTTGTAATATAAAAAAAAAGTGCATATTTGTAATCTGCCCAATGCACATTGGTGAAAACATGAGTGAAGAGAATAGTCTCAGGAATGTATAGCTTTCAGTTGAGAGCTAAATGAACTTCAAAAGCAAAGCCTGATTCCGGTGCTGCAGGGATACATTTAATTTACTTTGGTGTTCGGGTTTCATTATGCAAATATGAATGGATGTGTTTTCCTCAATCTAAAATTAACAGCATGCATCATAGGAAGTAGCTCACAGCTGACCCAGAAAAAAAATAAATCGATGCTTCTGAGAAAATGGGCCAGTTTTCAGTTGTTCTCTGTAGCTTTTCCTCTGCATCCTGTCATTTCACCTTCAAATGTTAACATGAAGAGGCGTGGTGTTTGTTTCCCCCCCACATGAAAAAGAGATGGAAGACTTTTTGTTGGACATTTTTTTTCTTTACTCTTTGATATGTGGATGCATGAGGATGTCTGGTATAAAACGCCCACGGTAGCTCATTACAAACAGTTAGGAAGGTCAGAGTGGAAGGAAGCCCAGGGTGCAGGGAAAAGAGGACGGCGAGCGGAGAGACGCCGCTCTTTACAAGTTCTCCTAACATACATCTATAGAAAGAGTATTTTGAAGATGCTTGATCCTCTCTGCTGATTGAGAAGTTCTTCCAGGTTATGTTTAGAATTGGAGCTACTTTTGTTTTCTTTGTAGTACACAGAAATCAACCAGTTTCATAGGGGTGCTTTTAATTTTCTTTTTTTTTTTAAGTGCAACAAAATAGTTCCATGTAATTCTTCTCTTTTGGCTACTTTAAATCTTAAAGGCTAATGTATTTGAGATTATATCAGGAATAATTTTTCTTTTCTTGCTCAATGTGCTTCGTAAATTCCAATCCCAATCCTGTATTTTTTTTATTGATTATGGTACAATCTCATCTCATTTTGTACATTTTATAAAAAAAAATGTGTTTTTGGCTTTCTTTTTTCTTAAAACTTTATCTTGAAGCTTTTCTTTGCATAGCTCTAAACCCCTGCCTTTAACTTTAAATCCATGTTTGTTTTCCCTTCTTTTTATTTCCTTTGAAACATCTGTTTTGAGAGTTGTTTACATCCTTTCTGCTCTCAGAAGTTAATCCATGGCTCTCTTCTTGTCGGTGCAGACTGCAGCGAGTGTTGGTCGAGTCGGTCAGCCAGGAAGCTGCTGCCAGCCCAGCCGCCGCCGCTGCTGCTGGGAGAATTCCTTAGCTTCTTGAGCGGCTGGCTCCGAAGGATGACTGCTGCACGGCTCGTTGCTGAATCCCGGTGAACGAACGGCGTCTCATGTCCATACGGTGGAAGGATGGCTCATGGCAAAGTGACCATCACAGTGGACGAGTACAGCTCCAACCCGACCCAGGCCTTCACACATTACAACATCAACCAGAGCCGCTTCCAGCCTCCACACGTCCACATGTAAGTGTAATCCACTTCCGCCTGCTTGCTTGAATAACAATTTTCCCCTTCATCTAAAATATTTAACAGGAGCTCAGTCAGGCTGTTCAAACTAGGGCTGCAACTAGCAATTATTTTGCAAATTAGTCAGTTATTTTTTCAATTAATCGATTAATAATCGGATAACTAAAGGTTCCTTAAAAAACACATTTTTGCGAAGTTAAATTAGGTGAAACAAAAACTTTTCCTCTTGAGGAGTTCTGGATAGAGAATATTGACAGACAAAAAAATGTTTTTATCTAAACGCAAAATATTTATAATATATATTTATAAATATTTATATATTTATATAATTTTTTTTTTTCTACAATTTTGGTATAATTGCTTCTCAATGTGGGTTGAACATGCTTTTAGCTCTGTCAGCTAAAAGCATGTTCTAGAGTCTCTATAGCTCATTTAACTAGGGCTGCAACTGACGATAATTTTGCAAATCGATTAATCTGTCAATTAAATTTTCGATTAAACGATTAATAATCAGATAGCAAAAGGTTCCTTAAAGAAGACTTTTTACGAAATTAATCCAGGTGAAACTAAAAGGATTCAGCTTGAGGATTTCTTGATATAGAATATTGACAGAAAGAAAAGCTTTTTTTTTTTTTATCTTGAACGCAAAATGTTTATACATTTGTTTTATAATTTTGGTTTAATCACTGCTTAACGGGTGTTTGATCTGTCAGCTAAAGATATATTTTACAATCTCAAAATTCCAGTTAGCGAATAATCGATTACTTAATTAGTTGACGATTATTTCAATAATTGATCAATCACAATTAATCCAGATAGTTGTTTCAGCCCTAATTCAACATTAAATAAATTCCCTTAATCTCAGTGGCTGTATGGCAGCCAGTCAGAACAAACTATTAGAGGGGAGTAATATTTGGAGGATAAAACTAAAGGTATTGTTTAACATGGTTCATGCATGTTATGAAAAAGTACAGAATTAGATTTAAATGTTTGGGTTGTTTCCCTCCTGTGTTCAAACATCCTATCCATCATCTGTCTGTTTTCTGGTCAATCCAGCTTCTATATTTTAGGATGGGGCAGAAATACCTGCCCTGAATTTTTAATGAACTTTTGTAGAAATTATAAAAAGTTTAGATAAAGGATTGAAAACTCTGGAAATTTCAGTTTGTTAAAATCTAATTTCTGTCGGGGAAAAAAGTTTGTTGCAAAAAAAACATGATAAAAAGTCTCTTCTGACTTCTGGTGCTTTTATCGTTTACTTTGTTTTTCCCATCGGAGCATCGCTGCAGTTTGCTGTTATCATTCTTTTCTGGCTGCCATTGAGATGCCAGAGCGCCTGGTCTGCGTTCCGGTTTTCATTTTATCCATTCATTAGACTCGTTACTTGTGGCTGCTCTGGTCGGATGTGGTAAAGCTGAGCTTCTCATTAGCGGGTCGGGGTGATGCGACCTGTTAACCCTCTCCGTGCTTACACGTACCGGAGCTCTGTGCTTCTCTTTCCTGTGGACGGCTCTCTTTTTGTCTAACAGTTAACCCGTTTTTAGCTTTGTGACCCTCGGTGTTTACTAACTAACCTGTTTGTGACATTTAAGCTGAGATCAGCCTTTAATTCAAGTGTGAATTTATATGAAAAATATAACATACATTTGTATAATATGCATTACTTAGAGGCAGAAGACATGTAAACACAAGTTCTTAGATAAATTTAACGCTAAACCAGAGTTGGAAGATGAGGTCTCTGCAGACTTAAGAGCTGAAAGAACAACCAGCTGCACAGCTTAACTTCTGGCAGATGAAACGTCTGCTCCCAGGTTTGAGCTTTTTCTACATTTTAGGTTTTTGAAGCATTGTGTTGCTTTAAGGGTCTCATCTATTCAGTCTTTTCTTGCAACCGGGATCATGAAATTATGTAAACAGCTGTATCAGCGTGTGACCTTCCCTCTGGCGTTCGGAAGCGAGCACAATTGTGGTACTGTGTTGTTTTGGGAATCCCTCTCTGCCAGCACACTGAGTGTTAAATGTGGAAGAGGAGATGAACATAACCTGTTCAGTCTGCCTTATGTCAGGCGTTGTTCAAATGGTTTATAAACTTGGCCAGATGTTTTATTATGAATGCAGGTTAGAGTGAGAAATGTAGTCAGTGCCGAATTCACAAGGGCACCTTTTTTTTTTGTTCCCCCATTTTAGTCGGAGCAGACAGAAGAAACAGTGTTTCTTCTGAGGTTAAAATAACATCTTTTGTGCTGATATTTCATTGCTCTGATCAGTTAGTGTGTCCTTTCCTGGCTGCTGAGGCAAACAGCACGGTGGGTCTGGTTGCCATGCGTTGTCAACACAGACTTGCTATAAGAAGGTGGAAATATATCTCCTCCTGCCTATTAGACTTTATTTTATTTTTTTCTGCTATGATCAGGGGTGCTGGCCACTGTGCTCTTTTCCCTTTTCGCACATTTGCTGTTTTGGTCTCTTTTATGCCCAAGTTCACACTGATCCTTCCTCAGTTCGTACCCATTTTACCTACATAAAAAAAAAAAACAACATTTTAAGTAATTTTTTAGATCCTACATGTTGTCCCATACAAAAAATATGGTGAAAAATGGCAGCATGTCACCTAGAGCTGTTTCATTTTTATTGGGGTTGTTATTTGTTACATCCAAATCAATTAAAATAGCAATAGCCAACGATTCTTAATAATAATGTATAATATAGTGAATAATATAACTGATTTAAGCATTTTATTACTGTTTTATCATTAAATGTTTTGAAACTATTTCACTTTAATGAACATTTAACTTGTTGAGGAGTGAAGCATTAAAACTAAGGCAGAAAAGTGATTGGTCCCTAAACCGCAGAGTACCTCAAGTGGCCTTATTGATTTAATGCACTGGTTGTGGACCCTGATGAGATGCTCATGGTATGATCACCTTAAATGAAATACAGCAGCTTCAGATTTTGTTTTAAACAAAAAGTTAAATAAATATATAAAAATATCTAATTTATTTGATATAGAAAAGCAAATAATAAAAGCAAATATTTATCCTAATAGTTGTCGATTTCCATATTCAGCTGATTTTAATTCTTAGACTTCTTAAGAGAATAAAACATATCTATTGTTTTCATGCACAGAATGTTTCTCCTTCTGGGCTTTCTATAAAGGGGTGCAGGGACTATAATGGGCTGATATCAGCTGGCTAATTAGCCGGGCTATCTGCTCAGGTAGCCCAGCTAATTAGCCAAATCGATTTTTTTTCTTCTTCTATTTATTTATTTATTTATTTAATGCATAAAAAGCACCATCTTTTCTTCTTGAAGTTTGGCATCACATTTAGCAAATAAAACAAGGTTGAAGGTTCACGAATCTTTTGAATGCTTTTAAAGTTGGAAAAATGAAACCTTTAGTGAATTATACTTCCTTATTCTCGCATTAATATTGGGATTGCTTTTCCAGTATATTTAGATTTCTTAGCTTTTGTGCAGCCAGTTGATTTTTCCTCCTTCATTGTGTTAGTTTTCAGAGTTAAAGTCTGTGCCAGCGGGGGTGGGGGGTGGAAGCCGAGGGGCCTCTCAGCAGATATGTGTTTGGATAAATACATTAGGCTGTTTCCTGGGTTCCACAGAGCCTGCAGTGTTTTACTCTATCATTCTTAGACTCAACCTAGGAGCCCTGCGATGACACACACACACACACACGCGTGTCTGTGAGCCCATCCCCCCTCCATGTTCAAGTGCTTATAGAATAAGAGCTCTGTTCGAGGACAGCAAAGGCTTGTTTAGATTTCCCGGATAATGATCCGAGTCGTTCCTCTCCGTATTCGCTGCTTTCGGGGAAATAAAATGTGAGCTTCTCTGACAGAAAATGAAAGACGTGACGGCCCTGGCTTGCTTTTTGAAATTTAATCCCGCCTCTGATGTTTTCCTCCCTCTCAGACTCTTTCTCCAAAGGGGTACAGCAATTCCTTTTGTGTGGCATGGAAGGTATGGCTCTGCGAACCTCTAATGAAAACATGCATGTAGGGCACGTGCAGAGTCATGCACACACAGAGAGCTGCAGATGGAAGCTACTGCTGAGGAACGTGACCCTGTAGTTGGAGCGGGCCGCGTCTCCGTCCGCCCCTGGAAGTCAGCGACAGACCCATTTGGGCCTTGTTTGCGTTCAGTTTATTTTCCTGTTCTGTCTGTATTTTTGTTCACTCTCGCCCTTTCTATCCTACCCCACCTTTTTTTTTTTTTTTTGCTGTCGTCTTGTGAAATTGAAATGCTCAGCAACTTGGAGCATATGCTTCCAGTTGGGAATCTAATTGAGCCGGGTTTAGCCAAGATGCAGTTAGGGTGCTCAGATTGACAGAATAGTTTAATAGGAATTTCTAAAATCTGGTTCCTGGGCCACAAAAAATGTAAGATTCTAAAAATAAGCATTTAAAGCATCTACCTGATTATGTTTTGGTTTCAAGGAATATCCCCCCTGGATGTAATCCTAATAATCCACCAACTAATGATACGTTCACGGTCAATTACCCTGTTGATTCATTTAGCTGTAACTAATTCTTTAAACATTTATTACCATGTAAGAAAAAAAAGAACCTGATATGATCTCCCATGCAACCCAATTTATCATAGATAAAAAAAAAATGTATAAAATAGAATTTCCTTTTTTTTTCACTACTGCATTTCAGAATAAGTGAGTTCAACATTGCACCAAGTAGAAGTGACTGGATTATGCAGCGAGGTTTTGTTGTTGGGACTAATTATGCACTATGTTTCTAACAGCATTAAACTTGCAGCATCTTCACTGTTAAATGTCTTGCATGTCCAGATTAATGTGATTTCAGATCCTTTATTAAAGTGAAATATGTTTTACCTCATGGTAACTTCCATATGATGGTGCTTTCCCGTACTGGGATTCCTTTGTGCCCATGAAAGGCGTTATATCACATGAGAACAATTTTATTTATTTAAAGACAACAATGGAATATTTGGATCATATTACCCTGAACCTT